CTAACGCATCTTGGACGATACCCTCACTCTGCGTATCAAGAGCACTAGTAGCTTCGTCGAGTAACAAAATTTTTGGATCTTTAATAATAGCACGGGCAATTGCGATACGTTGCTTTTGACCACCAGACAATAAAATTCCACGTTCACCAACCATGGTTTCATATTTATCAGGAAAATTCATAATAAAATCGTGAGCATTAGCCATCTTACAAGCATTTTCAATCCTTTCAAGTTTTTCATTATCGGATAAATTTTCATAAATAGAACCAACCAATCCGTGAGATACATTTTCAGCAATAGTAGCTTTAAAAAGTACAGGTTCTTGACTTACAAGACTTATTTGTCTTCTAAGCCAAGTTAAATTAAGAGATTTGATATCACATCCGTCAAGAAATACACCACCAGAAAGAGGATCATAGAAACGAAGTATGAGAGACACAATCGTACTTTTACCAGATCCTGAAGAACCAACAAGAGCAACGGTCGAACCAGGTTCAACATCCAATGATACATTATTCAAAGCTTTAACATCAGGGCGTGTCGGATAAATGAAATTTATATCTTTAAGTTGAATATGACCAACAACGTCTTTGGGCTTATCGCCTATAGCAGAAGCGACATCAATTGACGGAATACGATCAATAGTTTCAAATATTTTTGAACCTGCGCCAGCAGCAAGGCTAAGAGCCTGAATGTTGGAAAAAATATAATTAAGACAGGCAGCTCCATTTAAAATCTCAAATAATACATTAGCAACCTTTTTTTTTTTAAAAAAAAAAAAAAAGAAAAGAAAATTAATAAGCAACTAGCAGTAACTTTAAATTAATAGCGAAGAAAAAAAAAACATATACTTGTCCGGAAGATAATTCATGATTAAGAATCAGTGTAGAACCAAACCAGAAGGCTAAAGAATGAGATGCATAGGCGACAAAGTGTAGAAAGCCAAGAGCAAAACCAAGCACCAAAAATTTTTTATACCTCTCTTTTTTTGCATCACTTAGGTAAGCATCATAAAGTTTAGAGTGTTTCTTTTGAGCACCAAAAGCCACCGTAGTTCTGATGGTTGAAATAGCTTCTTCGGCTATTTTTCCAGCAAGAGAATAAAAACTTGAACTTCTTTGTGTAAAAATTGCGTCATATTTACTCATTAATCCACCAACAGCAATAATAATAAAGATAATGTAGCTTATCACGAGTGCAATTTTCCAACTTATAGTAAACGCGATAATGAATGATGTGATGAATTGTATAATATACTAATAAAGAAGTAAAAGATAAAAAATGATAATAAAGAAAAATAAATAAATAAAATTAATAAATAAAAATAAAAATACAATTTTATATATACATAACCTTACTTCAAAAGCGATAGGAACTTTTTGACTGATGCCATCTTGTATTAAATGTATATCAGAAGTAATTCGAGTAGTAAATTCACCTGATCCATATTTGTCAAAATAAGCTATGTTTTGTCTAAGAACTGCGTGAAGATATCGTTCACGGATTTGCCTTGCGTTTCTGAAAGTAACAACGATCAGGTAAACGAAATTAGTATCATTTTTAAATGATTGAACAAATTTGAAGATTATATATAAAAAAAAAATATAATAAAAAATAAATAAATCACTTTTCACCAGTATATGCCCAAGTAGCTACAGATATATACGTAGTAACCAAAGTGGCAATGGCGAAGCATACAAGAATTACTGAAAGACGATTTATTTCTTCATTAAAATAACTAATGCTTATAGTGTGATTTTGAAAACGGGTATAATTATCGGCCATTATTCCGGAAAAGGTTATCACTACAGGCTGCCGATTTACGTATGTTGAGAATTTTTGAAATATAAAATGTGAAATAGAGAAGTACGATGCACATACCATGATGGTTCCCGTGCCCGCTGAAAACACTAATCCAATAAACATAATTATCCGGTCAAGTATTGTAGCAAATCTATATAAAGTTATATATGATACTTTTCCTTCAGGAACGTCAATCTGATCCTTTAAAATTTGTTCTTCCGTTGGATCAAGCTTTATGCCAGAAGATTCTTCAATTGGTATCGCTGTATTAATTTCAGTCATCTTTGATATTTATGTTAAGAATATTTTTTTAAATTATATTCTTTTTAAAGTAGCTAAAAAAAGTTACTTCAGTTGAGATTCGAGGAAATTTATATTATATTAAGAATTTTTTTTTTTTTTATTAAGTTATATTATTTCGAAATTTTTCAAAATGGCTAAAAAAAGGTTATTTTAAATTGAGATTCGAGGAAATTTATAACTTTATGTCATGCATGGTAGCTATTTTAGAATTCTGGCAACCACTTAAGGAAGATACATTTATATTGGTTTTTATAACTCATATTAAATTAAATCTTGAAAATAATGATTCGAATTAAGTCGATCAAAAATCGACTATATTACCTGTGAAAGAATTACAAATAAATTAAAAGAGACTTGAAAAGGACTTTTTAGTATTTAATGTACTATACATAATGTATTGGGGTGTCAATCATCGGTCTAATTGCAAACGGTCAGTTCATAGTGATAATCATTATAGTGTACTGCAGATCAACGATAGTTTAATAATAGAAACATAGAAAGTTCAAGCTGCAATAACTTTTGAACCATCAAACCCACACAATTAAAATTATATTTGTCGGGTTTGTCATAATGTGCTCTTTAACGTGACAACGCTCTTTTTTTTTTATTTTTTATTGTCTGGAGTGTAGCGAGAGGATTAATATAATACAAAATACTCGTTTTTGATTTATTATTAATAAAAATATCAAAAACGAAGCTATTGCACATTGTGTCACAATATGCGCAGAAAAATTCTAAGTTACGTATTTGATTTTTTTATTAATACTGTAATAACTAGGTAGTTGCGCGACGTCATCGCGCAAAACCAGGAACGGAAACATTTAGATCTGACACAGTAAGTTTGTAAATGCTTTGATTTAATCATGTAGCGTAAGTTAATTAAAAACAATGAATTAAAGTATAATTTTCAATACAAACTAACTTATATTAATAATATATGTAGCAACCAGAGTAGTAAGTTTTGTAACAGAATAGTTCACAGTAAATCATGATAGTAATCACAACAATTTCAATGCAAACTATTTTATATTTAATTGTCACCGAATAGTAAGTCATATAATAGATTTTTATATTGTAGTAACTTGCAATGGAAATGCAATAATTCCTATGCAAATTATTTTGTTTTAACTATATATTATAGTCACTGGAATAGTGAGTAAGTACTTTTGTTTCAAACAAAAATATTTTTAAACTATGCAATATATTTAACCATATTCTGTAAGTATGAAAATCGTTATTGTTTTGAGTTTTGATTAATTTATGCTATAGCAGCTACAGGGCTCAACTACAACATGAGGTCTTTGCACTGCTTAGTTGCAGTGTTTAATTACCAAAATGAGGTTCTTGCGCTGCCTGTGGCAGCTATAAAGTCTAATCGCAATATGAGGTTCTTGTATTGCTATTGCAGCTATGGAGCTTAATCACATGAGATTCATTGTAGTTGTATTGCTATTGTCTAATTACAATGTGAGATCTTTGAACTATTATTGTAGTTGCGGAGCCTAAACATCAAACATGAGTACTTTGCACTGCCTGCGGCAGGCATAAAGCCTAATCACATTATGAGGTCCTTCCTAATATAAATGTCTCAAACTCAAGTGCTCATAAAAATAAAAACAGAAAAGATTATGGTATGTATAAATGGTACGAACACACTAAGCCATTAAATTTTTGTCACCTTTCAGTCATATGGTAGCGTTTTAAATGGTTTCCTTGATTAGGGTTGGATCGGTCCCAAAAAAGACCGGTCTGGACCGGTCTTTGGACCGGAACTGAAGGTTTTTCAGTTCCCGATCTTAGACCGGTTTAAACCAGTCCAGATCGATTAATTAATAGCGGGAATTGAAAAATGCAAACTACACAAAAATGATTTAATAATTGGCGAATAACCAACAAAAACATGACAAACTAATTATTTATTTAATCATTAATGTATATATTACCTTATTTAATAATGAGCGAGTGTATTAATTTATTAATAATTAGCGAAGTATTAATTATGTAATAATTAGCGAAGATATTATTAATTCATATAATTAATATATTAATTTATTTAATATTTAACGAAGACAGTGAACATATTATTTATGGAGAAGATAATAATTTGTATAATAATTGGAGAAGAAATTTATTTATTTAATTTATGCAATAATTAGTGAATAGATTATTAATTTATGTAATAATTAGCTAAGATATTAATTTATTCAATAATTAACAAAGATTATTAATTTATGTAATAGTTTGCAAAGATATTAATTTATTGTAATAATTAGTAAAAATATTATTTATGTAATAATTGCACATAAAATAATCTTATAAATTGAAAGAATTCTTTTTATTAAATATATTAATCATTTTAAAAATTAAGTAATTTTGTGCTCTTTATGTTGAATAAACATTCTTCTTTTCAATTCTCAATAATAAAATTATCATAATGAATATTCAGTGTTTATTATTATCTGATGATCCACAAAGCAACAAAGATTATAACTATACTGATTTTGATGATCTACAAAATAACAGTGATGTTAGTATCGAAGATTCAATTTCAGATATATAAACACTTTCTAATAAATCCTCATTGGCAAAAATTTTAAATCACCTGTATAGCCATATTTTAATACTGAACCACCAAATATCTTAGCCAACTTGTTTGCAAATGATGTAAAGATGCTTTTGAACCTTTATTAGCAACCTCAACATTATGACAACACTTTGGCTTCACATAATATAATTGTATTTAAATTAAAAAAGCACTAAAAATAATTATTTAATTAATCCTCATGCAAAAATTGAACAGCATAAAAGAGATACATGTGTTTTAAAATGGGTTGTATATGATATGTAGGCATTTAGTGTTGTTGAGAATAAGAAGTGACAAGAAATGATAACAAAATTTGATCTAAAATATCAATTTCATAATAAACATACCTTAAAAGATAATATTGTAAAATTATATAAAGAAAAAAGAAAATATCAAATTAGTATTAAATAATATTTCAGGAAAATTATTATTTACATTAGATATTTAGACAGCAGCAAATAAAATAACATTCCTTAGTCTTACTATTCACTATATTAATACTTCTTGGCAATTAAATAATTTTCTTTTTGACATAATTTTTATAGATATATGGCATACTGAATGCAATATTTCAAACAATATTTAAAAAGTTTTTTATGAGTTAAACCTTACAGAAAAAACTTTAGCATTAACAACTAATAACACTTTATCAATAATAATATATAGCAAGGCAATAACTAAAAAAGCTTAAAAAAGAATTTAAAAATTTTCTTTTGCATATTATTGATGCATTATACATAGAGATGTACCATGTGCATTATGTGTGTTACATTATGCAATATATAATATTATATAATATAATATAGATAGTTTAAAAATTAAAAATATATATTGAAATTATTATATAAATTTAACTCAATAAAATTTTTATTTTTTTATTATTTTTTTTTTATTGGTTCTTTGACAGCCTCACTGAAACTTAGATACAAAATGTTTTACTGCTACTGTCTACCTAAATAGAACTAAGCTAGTAAACTACCTTTTGAAATTGCAGGTCTGACATCACCTGGCTACACTCAATGCACCCAGATGCAACCTGTCACACTAACTTTTATATCATTATGAGATCTTCTCAGCCTGTCGAGACCTAATTTCTTTAATCTTTCTTTTCTTACTGAGAGTATAAGAAAGTAAAAGTTCTGTATTATCAATACAGATTTAATATTAAAAAACAAAAAAGAAAACTAAAAACTAAAAAAAAACATATAACGAGGAGGGAATCAAAAAGAAAAATAAATAGGAGAACAGGAGAATATAAAAAAGAAAAACAAAAAGAAAAGCCTTAACAAGCTGACCAAACTATCTATCAAGAAATAGTTTATGGTCAAATAGTAAAAATTATATAACTACTGCAACTATAGTATATCTTGATTGTAAAGTTTTACTTTATCTACACTTTTTTTCTGATGTACAACCAAATCTAGGTACTAATTAAATGGAGAATCCTGATCTTCTGTAGATAGCACTGTGTTTATTTTTATGATCACTCCAAACATGTGGTTGCAATCCATCTGGTTATCCAGATTTAAAAGGAATAAACGATGCTGATCTTTTGACAGGAGTAAGTGGGTGATAGTAAAAAATATCAACCTGGTACTTTTCTTTAAAGAGAGTATATGTTTCTTCAAAAGTAGTAATATGAGTAGGTTTGAGCACACTGCTGCTCTTTTTTTCAGTAAGTAATAAACTCTAAACTTGTTAGCAAGTAGTATATGAGAATGACTTCTAAATAACAAGTACTATCCCCACGGTGAGTAATAAGCTCTAAACCTGTTAGCAGATAGCATATAAGAACTATCTCTAAATAATAGGCACAAGTTTATGGTTTTTGTCAGTCTTATATCCTTCTTCTCTGACATAGTTTTACTATTTTTGTTAAAAGTTCAGTTTTGAAAAGTTGGTCTGAGGGATTGTCAGAAAGAGTTGTATTTTACTCTTTCATAAAATTTTTATTATTTAATATTTCAATTTTAATATAATAAGTAATTTTATACTATGCATAAAAAGAAGTTCATATAATTATGTAGTTTCAAGAGTAAAATTTACTTTTGATATCTTATTTTATTTATTATATTAACATATAACAATTATAAATATTAATCATTATTTGTAAGCTTAATGTTTAAATAAAAAATTAAACAAGTTATTATTAACAGGTACTTAAGTAAAGAATAAACTAGTTTAAGTTTCAAATGATTAAATCCTAACTATTTAACATCTTTAGATATATATATAACTACATATTAAAGCTAATCTTAATAAAAATTAAATAGTAATATCAAAATAATTATATATATATAAATACAAGATTACATAATGTATCGTATGACATAATATTGCATTATGTAATAGAGGCAAAAAAGCCTGCATTTGAATATCTCTAATTATACATGTTCTTAACTTGGTTATAGTTCAAAAAATTGAGCTAATTGATAATTCTATTAAAAAAATTAGATTTTTGATAAATTGTATTAAAAATTCATAGCCTATTAATAAAGCTTTAAAAGTATTATATGGGATTAAAAAATAAAATATTTAACATTTGAAATAAATATTTAAGCAAGATGGAATTTGTCATTTTATATGCTAGAAAAATGGAAAAAGATAAAAATAGCTTTAAAATTACTTGTAGCTAATAACTAATTAGTTTGTAAATAATAATTATTAATGATACAATAGTTTTTTTAAACCATTTGAATGTGCTATACATTTTCTTTCTGTATCTAAATATCCAACTCATGGTAATGTTTAGTTTGTTTTTTTTTTGCAGTTCAAAAACATCTTACTCAATATATAAATAATAATGAACTCTCACAATATATAATAGCAGATTTAATTTAGTAAAAATTGGATGTTTATTGGCCTATTTTAGATGAAATATCCCAAATATCTTCATTATTTGATTCAAGAGTTAAATCATCTACTCTTGAAGACAAATTGGAAACAATTAGAGTAAAAAATAAAATATATACTATAACAGAATATTTTTTAACAACACTACAATTAACAACAAAAGTTTTAGTTAATAATGATATTACAAGTACAAGAAATTATTTCAACAAATAAAAAATCCCAATAATAATAATTTCTTTGCTTATTCTGAACAATTGCTAATGAACCATTATAGTATTAAAAAAGAATTAAAAAAATATTTGATAACACCTTTAGAGAATCATATTGATCCATTACTTAGGTAGTAAGACAAAATAATTATCCAACATTAAAAAAAATTGCAAGAGATTACTTATCTATTCAAGCTACAAGTGTAGCTTCGGAACAAGCATTTTTTGTTGCCAGTCAAACTATTTCAAAAGAAAGAAGCAAATTAGAAGATAATTCAGCAAGGGCAATTTTATATTTAAAAAGTTGGTTTCAAAATAAAGTTTGTTAACGTTAACAGAAATGTATAAATCAATATTGTTTTTTTTTTTTAATATTAACATTAGTATTAAATATATTATTTGTTATTAAATCCTGCTGTATTCTTGCATTAAAATCTTAAATAATGACAATAATAAATAAGGTGAGTGAAAGCTTTTTTTTTTTCTTGATATCAAGTATTTTTAACTAATTAAGTATCAAAAATATTGCTGAGATCAAAGACCAATATAGAGACTGTGTAACTGAACTGGACTGAACTGTAAGTATTATTTGATCGGTCTCATTAGGACTGAGGATGAACCGAACCGAACCAAACCAACCCTATCCTTGATCCAATCTGCAACCCCAAAATTATCCGTGTTTACATATTTAGAAATCATAGCAAACTGTAGCATCCAACCAAATACAAAATTTTGTAGATGAACATCCTTGACATTTTTGTAAACCATACTCTCCGTTTTCACTTACGGAAACTCCATTCCTGGTATAATTTTGTTGTGATTGACAAATGAATAAACTTTCATTTGCCTAATTTAGAGTTGGTATTTGTAGGAGCTAGGTTTCATAGATAAATGTTTACAAGGAAATCATGGAAATCGTATAAACCTTTTTTTCATCCAAAATTAATTTGAAATTGCGAATAAACAAATCTCATTTATCATTAATTTTCAAATTAATATGAAAGATTGATTGATATATGAATCTCAAATATTCAAATTAAGAGGAAGTGATATATAAAAGATCATGGGGTTTTTTTTAATAAAAAAGTCAAAGATTTCAATTTCTCTAGAGTCAAGATAAAAAAAATAATGATGAAAATTAGATTTAATGATGAAACCTCCTGAATTAATAATAGTAGTGATGATTATTATAGTTATGGTGTTTAATTACTAATCATAATGTTCTTGCACTGCCTGCGGCAGCCATAGAGCCTAATCCCAACGTAAGGCTCTTGCATTGCTATTGCAGCCACAGAGCCTAATCACAACGTGAGATCCTTGCTTAATCACTAAACATGAGATCCTTACACAGCCTGTGGCAGCCATAGAGCCTAATCGCAAATGGGTCTTTGCATTGCTATAGCAGCCAGGAGCCTAATCACAACGTAAAGTCCTTGTACTGTGGTGCTTAATCACCAAATATGAGGTTCTTCACTACTCGTGGTAGCTATTAGGGTTGGGTTCTGTTACGGATGACTACGATTATTCATAGTCGATTTCTAAGTACTGAGATGATGATTTTTTTTCTTTTTGAGCTTTTAATTAAAGTTCATCTCATCTTATAAGTGGAAAGAACGATACTTTCTCTGGAACTCAGAATTTCAAAATTTGTTAACATTATAACCAGTTATTAATTGGCTATGACGTTAACAAATATTAAAATTCTTAGTTTATTTTTTGCTAAATTTTTACTATATAAAAACCCTAAACTTTACCCTTACTCTAATATTAGAAAAAATAAATTTTTATTTTAATAAAAATTGTATGTATAGTAAATCACAGGTGATTGTTAGTTATTTTCTTATTTTTATTATTCAAAATTATAATGTATACGTATTTTTAAACAACTCTACTATTCTGCAGCATAGGTCCCTATTTCTCAAAAACGTACTAAGTAAACAGGATCGGGTATTCTAAGTAAAAATGCTCAGGACCTGAAATTAGAACCTTATACCTAATATAAATTATATTATATAAAAAAAATCCTTAAAACTGCACCCTAACCCTAAAAATATATAACACCATAGGTGCATTTTATATTATTTGTTTTTAAAATATTAGTTTTAAGTTGTATTAGTTTTATTAAAATTGTAATTATAAAATTTTTAATATATTCTATTAATATCTAGTGTATCAAAAGTGACAATATTACTAATATATATAATAACTCTTAATTTATAATTTCTTCTATTCTCAAACACAATACCACATTTAATAATCCTATGAAAAGAATCTGCATATTTTATTTTAGATCCAATCTCTCCAGTATTAGTTCTAATATTATATGTTAATTCAGTTTTATGTAATAACTTTCTTATTCTCAAACACAATACCACATTTCATTATCTTACGAAAGGATCTACTTATTTTGTTTAGATTCAATCTTCCCAGTCTCAGTTCTAATATTATATGTTAATTCAATTCTATGTAATAACTTTCCTATTCTCAAATACAATACTACATTTCATTATTCTACGCAAAAGATCAACATATTTTGTTTTAGATTCAATCTCTCCGGTCTCAGTTCTAATATTATACTTTAATATAGTTTCATGTAAAAACACTTTAATCTCGTTAATAGCAAAAAATCTACCCGGACATGCGTGCTTTCCTCCTCCAAATAACAAAAGATTATGATCAATTTTTGTTGCAGGAGAATGATGCTCTAAATGGCGGTAAGCATAAAATTCTGTGGGATTTTGACCTTGAAGCTCTTCATCATTATGCGTATCAATAAAGTTTAAAAAGATCATACGACCTATAATAATTTTAAGTAATTAGGAATATGTATGAGAATAGTTACGATTTGAAAGTTGAGAATAAAAACAAGAAAAAAAATTACCATTTGGGATTTGATATCCATTTGCAAGCATATAGTAAGATTTAGAAATACATTTGTGTACCAAATCAATTGTAAGATTGCTGGAAAATAATCTTAAAGATTCTTTAACAAAACTATCTAACTTCACCATCTTGGCAATATCATCAGATGTAGGTTCATTTCCGTTACAGTGATTATTAATTTCCTGAGCTTCCTGATATAATTCATGCCAATATTGTTTCCTTTTTACTAAATCTAATATTCAAATAAAAAATATTTATAAGTAAATAGAACTAAAAGTACTAAAAGAAAAACACAACTAACCATATAAAACATTTGTAGCACATAAAGACGTAGATGCCATGGCAGCAAAAATAAAACTGCTAATTCCATCAACAATATAATTATAATTTACATTATTTGGATCAAGATCAGGAGTTATTTCAGGGTCATCTAAGTAACATTGTAATCCATCTAGCTATTTTTAAATTTGAAAAGTGGTTAAATATTTTATAAGAATAATATATATATTTAATTATAATACTGTGTATATGTTTTATAAATAGCTTACTGGAGCAACCCAAGCATTTCCTAATCTCTTTTTGTCGTAAAGACGTTTTTTGATAATTGGTTTAATGCGACTGATAATTACTTTTTTATGCTTTGAAAGTGGATTCCAACCAAACCTTAAAGGTATTCTGTTAGCCAATGATAAATAAACAAATTATGAAGTTTTTTTTTCTTATTAACAAAAAAGGTATTGGTAAAGATAAAATAAAATAACTTTACGTGATAAATTGTAGATGAAGCCAGGGATGTATAAAAGATAGTATTGGTGGTATATAAAGAAGTTTAAAAATTGAATCTGTTAAGGTTTTAAAAGTTTCCAATATATCCTTATAATTGCAACATTCCTAATTTTTTTTATTTCAAGAAATAATTAAATTAATGAAAAAAAAGAAATTTTTACAAATAATTATACATACTTCACCAACAATAAGTTTAGCAACCGGAATTGTAATAATTTTTGTTAAAGTTTTATGTGGATCATGAATAATCTTTGGTTCTAATAATAATTAAAATTCATTTTAAGTCTCTCATGAGAAACTTTAAGTTAGAATCTTAAAGCTTACCAATACATTCACCAATATGAAGATCTATGGCCTTAATAAGGTCTTTTTGTCTTTTTGTAACCTGTCCATAAGATATTTTAATTTTCCTGTGAGATAATCACTTATTAATTTCCTATTTTTCATAAAATCTACATGACTAAATATGTGATGTAATGGTAATCGCTGTTTTTAAATTGAATTATTTAGAATTTATGATGATAATAATATCCAGATAACCAAAGAATTGTTGTATTCGCTAAGAATTGCTTAATTACCGCTTTAATGGCTACATTAAGATTAAAGTCATGATCCTTGTTTAATATTTCATGAGTTGTTTCCTTTCCAGCTATGGTAACTATTTCACCAAATATACATAATGAGAATGTCTCTCCATACTATTATTAAAAGTTCATAAGTTATTAACATAAGGTTTATCTATATATTATTTCTTTTTTTTAAAAAAAAAATAATAAAGACCTTTTCTCGTGATTCTAAAATTAATTTTTCACAATCCATTAAAAAACTCCATGTATGTCCGATAATTGGAAATCGATAATAAGCAAGAGGTGGTTCATTCTAACCGTTACATTAATAACTTAATTATGAATAAATATTAATGTGAAAAAAATGCATACTAGTTCAGTCCGCCTCGATAGTTTGAAATAAACTGCTGCTAAAATTAATCCTATAATAAATGATTGAATATAAATGTTTCCTAATAAGATCGCGATCATTCTTCCAGTTTTTTTTTTTCTTAAATGAAATATTATCGCGACTAGTGATGGGACCTCTGGGTTTTAGTCAATAATGAAAAAATTAATAATGTGTTCTTTATATTGTTAATAGTTAATAACGACGATCATCGCTAATATCGATATGATGAATTAAATAAACCACCAACAGATTTAATAAAAGTTTAGTCAGACAATATTTCAACAATTTTTGAGAAAATATTGATGCACTTTTCGTTTTTTTATACATCTTATATTAATTAACTGCGCCATATATTATCAAACTGTCGTTATATTATACAGTTTGGCATAATTTTTTAAAATAGGCACCCTTTACCATGCTGATCCTATGACATATATTATTGTTTCAAATTTGAAAATTATCACTATAGTATATTAATATGATATAATTTTTAAAATAGATACAGTATTTTACGCTTTATCTGGTACCAGGGACACGGGGAAAATGCGATTTTATTTATAGGACTAGTCTCTAACCCGGTGCGTAGCACCGGGCTTTAACGTTATTAAATAAAAAATTTAATTAAATAAATATTTTTAAGTTTATTTAATAACTTTAATAGTTTTTAATTATATTTATCAGCAACGCGCATTTAAACATT